CTCTCCTCTCTCTCTCTCTCTCTCTCTCTCTCTCTCTCTCTCTCTCTCTCACACACACACTCGCTCGCACTGTTTTTAGCAATAACTACTGGGATCTCTCGCACAGGTCAGGCGGTCAATTTTTCTTTATGATACCTTTTCTTTCCTTTCTTTCTTTCTTTCTTTCTTCATTTCTTTCTTTCTTTCCTTCCTTTATTTCTTTTTTTCTTTCTTTCCTTCCTTCCTTCCTTTCTTTCTTTCTTTCTTTCTTTCCTTTCTTTCTTTTCCTTTCTCTCTTTCTTTTCCTTTCTTTCTTTCTTTCTCCTTTCTTTCTCCCCTTTCTTTCCTTTCTTTCTTTTCTTTTTTTTTATTTCTTGATTAGCCTTAACCCTAAACCTCACCTGAGCCATCATCATATTTATTGAGACATCCCTTGTTAGTTTAAAATTCTTCTTGGGGAATCCCATTGCTTCTGTCACTTGGTTCGTGGGCCTTCCTTTCAGGAGTTGGGGTAACATTCTCCCATCGCATATATCTGCATGCATGCACTGTCTGCACCCATCCAATCTCCTGCACATAATACACTTGTGTCTACTAGTTGCTCCTCTCCTAGTTGGACAATTCCCCGACCTGTGCTTTTCATGGCCACACGTCCAACAACGAAGCCGGTGTCTCCACGATGTTCGCCTGAAGTACCCGTATCTCAGGGTCTACTCTTTTCTGTGGGGATCAGCTTTTTCCTCCCAATTCTCGGGGTGCCACTATAATTTTTCTGTCCTTCCGTAGTACCCGGGGTCTTTCTGCTCGTATTGGACTCGCCAGCCATTTTACCTTTAGCTAGACCTTGGTCCTTACTCTCCCTTCTGATTCTGTCGCAGAGATTTTTTTTAAACTTATTATGCTATTCTTCGCTTCTGTTGAAGCTCTCAATGTTTTTATCGTAACATCTTTAACTTCCCCCCTTCTTTTGTTTATATGTTATACAATACAACTTTAAACTTATTCCTCGGCAAGGTGCAATATTCAGCACGCGAGACAAAGAAAAAACACAGGGGAACCAAAAGTACCCTAACTGTCGCCTTCGTCTGCTTGGTGGTTTGATATTTTCGCACTTTCAGATCCCAAATGGTTAAAATCCTTTAGTTCTTATTACTGCATATATTTTCACAACTTGGTCGGGCTGTGTCCTGTGTTCCTAGGGTCTCTAAGTCGCTGCTGATTTTCCTGGGTTGGTCCTGGTCCACGGCAACCAACTATCTAACCCCCACGGTCGATCCTGATCACGGCCGCAATTATGTAACTCCTCTATCGTTGACCTTAGTCAGCGGTAACCAATATATAACCCCACTCGTCGGTCCTCAGCCCCGTGTTAGTTTTCAAGTTTCTTTAGACCACCGTGGTTACCATTTAGCTGACTCTCAATTCTTTAGCGCGTGATTCGTTGTCGCGGGTATCGTGACGGTATGCACGGTCCCACTCGACCTGGCTGGCGTTTCTCTGTAAGCATTCACTTATCTACCACGTTGTGTTTTTGATCTCAGAATGTGTTATGGTCCGGTTCCTTGTACCAAGTTAGAACCAATAAAGAAGAACTCGAACACGGATATGGAATAACACAGATATATTACAAACAGGAATATATACAGAGAAGTAGAAAGTGTTAGTACGAACAATCAGGTTTAGTAGTACCTGTGTGAACGCGACTCTGTTTCGGACTGCCTCTGACTCGACTGACTGACTAACTCGCTCTGACTGACTGGCAGACTCCTGACGGACCTCACTTCAGACCTCACTACAGACTTCAGACCTCACTCCAGACTTCAGACGGAACGGTATTTAGCGACCTCCCACGAGGACATCATGTGGCACAAGGCCGGTTTAACGTGGGATCTCCGAGCCCGTGGGCTCGGCCAAAAATATGCCCTTTGAACCCGTATAAACGGGTTCAGGGTCGGTTTACCTACCCGAAAAAGACTCCGCCCTTCGGCGTAGCCTCGTTCGGGTTCCTCCCCACCCGAAGGCAGAGAGTTCAACCGATCAGCCGTATTTATTACGTATGGAATAGTCCATTATGTTATTATGGGTAAGGTCTTATAACAGAATGGTGAGAAGATCGCTTGATTAAGCAAACTGAAGTGAAGACGGTTTGAAATTTGGAAGCGACACACACACACACACACACACACACACACACACACACACACAAAAATCCTTTGGAATAAAAAAATTAACTCGGGTTAATAATGTAACAAAGTTTTGGTTTATATATGATTTAACGTATGCAACAGTTTTAACCCTACCCATTTGTTGTTATAATTAAATGAAACTGAGTTCGCCTTCGGAGTCTGCAGTTTGTTTTAGGAGTAACTTAAATGTCTAAGTTCTGGTCTTTAGGCTCGGCACATGGACTTGGTCAGGAGGTCTCTGTGAGCGATGTGGTTCCCGTAGAAGTAGAGTGGAGAATCTCTATTTGTCTCTCTCTGCATCTCTTTTGTCTGTCCAAAATCTCCAGCATATCTGG